CCCTTGACACCCTCCCTTCAGATATTTATAAACATTGATAAGATTCCCTCAGTCTTCTCTTCTCCAGGCTTCCCCTCTACTCAGCACTGGTGAGGCCACATCTGGAGTCCTGTGTCCAGTTCTGGGCTCCCCAGTTCAAGAGAGACATGGACATACTGGAGCGGGTCCAGCGAAGGGCCACAAAAATGATTAAGGGACTGGAGTATCTGACATAGGAGGAGAGGCTGAGAGAGCTGTGATATTTTAGCCTGGAGAAGTGACAGAAGGAAATGAGGAAATAAATGGTAATTTATGGCTAAACCTCCTTTGTACATGTGCCTTCTAATCAATGGAGATTCCTGAGGGGAGCCAGGGGCCAGGCACTTACTGTAGTTATTCAATTCAGATATTTTCTTTTCTTCATCTTACGTTGCCAAGTGGCCTCCATTACACACACATGCCTCCCCAGCTTCAAGGACAACATAGCTGTGCTAATTGCTGCTCTCAGGTCACAAATTCAAAAAGGTTAGCTTATTTAACAAAAAACTTCCTTTCTTACTTCATTAGCATCATTTCAGCACGATTCAATCTAAATGATCATGGTCTGTAAAACAATTTACATATCTTTATCAAGAAGGAAGAGAATGGCTGAATGCTCTGAGCAGCCTGTTTGAAATAACAAAAATAAAGTATAACAAAGAATTATCTTAATAAGATAACCCAAGTTTGTGTAGGATATGCAGCTCTTCCTTTACCTAATAGTTTTATATAAGTTTTTGAACTGTGCTGCAAACCACCAGATCATCTTGCATGCAGTCTAGCTGAACAAGCTAATTACACTCATTGAGTTGAATGGACTCATTCAGAGTTGAATGCAGAAACTGGGAAAAAAAAGAGTTTAAGAGATCAAATAAACATCATGTCATCTGGAAGGATTTTAGAATGACTTGAGTCCTGCAGATATAATCCAGTAGTCTTTGTCTGCATGTAATAGCCACCACCTTCTTGGATGTGGTCCCAGTTGCACAACCCATTACTGATGCCAATTTGTGCTGGTGGCCTTGGACAGATTTGGCAGCCTCTTAGTGCCCTGAGTTTATCAGTTCTTGCAGATTCAGCAGGACTTCTAGTCTCCAGAGCTTTCTGTTCCTGGGAGACTTTCACATGCTACCTCTCAGCATGTACTTTTCCTCTCTTCAGCCTGCTGTTTTCTGGTAACTACTTCTCTATCGGTATCTATAAAGCCCATTCACACAAATTCACACAGAAAGGGCTTTTATGATACCTGCAGCTTTGTGAAGTATTTTGCCTTGATCATCTATTGTTGCTCTTCCCATTTTACAGTTCAAAATTAAATCTGAGCTGCTCATTTATCTTCAAGAAGGTAAGGAATACCTGTAGACTGTTTACGCTGTTATAAATGATACTTACATTTTTTCCTTTTTAGAATTTAAGAGTTTTAGACTTTATGAAGAGGCTCTTGGGGTTTCCATTTGTAAGTTGAAGAAAACACTTTCCTCTGGGCTGCAAGAAAAATCATCTCTGTTCAAATCTAGTTTGTCAGCTCAGCTTTCACTAAGACTAAGGTTTAGCTTTCACTTTTAAGTGCTTGTTTGAGTGAACACAAAGTGTGTAGTTATATAAAATATTTTGCATGAGGTGAAACATGAAAGGGGACCCTGCCTGGAACATCAGTGCTTCAGAGAATAAAGAGCATTTATGATGAGGCAGTTTATGCTTTTTAAGTTCTGTCCTGTGACGTCCTAAAGAATTATTTAACCATTCAGGGGTTAGCTGACATTTTGGCTTTTACTGTTAGGCTTGTAGGACAAAATTGGCAATAGCTTAAACATAGGCTGACCATACATGCCCTGCTTTTGAAAATGCCTTTGATTTACCCACCTGGAAAATGTAATTAGGGGCCATATTCTCTGCTGGTGTAAACAGTTGCCACTCCATTGATTTCAAAGATATTTCATCCACTTCCACCAGTAGAGAATTTCTTCAATAATTTCCCCATTGGAACAAGGCTACTTATGTAGAAGATATAGTATTTTTATTGGCTATGTGCTATCATTGAATATATGAGAGATGTACAAAATGAGTCTCTGAAACATAGATCTTATTTAAATAATCTGCACAACCCTAAAAGGTCATCCTGCCACAAATACACACATAGTCTGCAAACTCTCCTAACAGTCATCTGTGCTTTTTGTCTGGAAGGTAGGAAAGCCTGTGGAAACATGTCTCATGCATTCTGCAACCCTTTATTGTGGACTTACCCATGGTCATTCTTTCCCTCTCCTGGAACTGCTGGCACACTGTCTTTATTGCTGACCAGAAGCTTTCTGGGAGTGTTATAAAACAAGTAGTAAGTCAGGATAAAGTGTTGCAAGGTCACACAAATTTTTAATTTAAGGGAATGTTTATCAAAATGACTGAATCAAAAGTACTTTGTTTTCAGTATGTATGATTACTGACACATCACAGGTATCCTGAATATAAATTGTCTCAAGATTGCATAAGCAGTGTTAGCATGGGAAAAAGTCAGGAAATTATTATGGAAGAAATAAACAGACATCAAGGCTGATGTTACTGGCAAGGTTGTGTGACATGGGATGCAAAGAGAAACTGGACAGAAAAATGTAGAAAAAGTTCCTCTACATTTTTAGTTACATAAAGCTTGAAGCATGAGAGAGAGAGAGAGTGAGGCTAGTTGAGCTGTCACTATTTATTATTTGTATATGAAAAATCCTCAAACTGTTTTGGACTTTGATACTCCACATCTAAACACTATTCTTAATCTTGGTTTCTCATTTCTCATTTGTTAATAGACCAGGTGCATTTTTTGCTTTTAATTGTATAGGGTCCTTTAAAATTCTACTCAAACTGCAAGAATGGAAAAATTTCCTTTTCTGGTTTTTAAACAAAGAACTCTGTCTTACACCACAGATGTTGCCTCACAGACAGAAGTCTTGTGTAAAATAGCATTACAGTAGCTGTAGATCTATTTTATGTCAAAGTAGTTAAGAGAAAATAGGTTTGGATATCTTTTCATATGCTCTAGGGTGAAACTGTGTGCACTTCATTTTATTTTGGAATCATAGTCTAGTTCTTTCAACATCTTTGCAGAGAGAGAGCGAGAGTGGCAGTAGAATGTCATCTGCTTTTCAGAAAGCACCCCCCCTCCAGTATGCCAATGTTAATTTCTGCTCTGTACTGATTGGACCATGGACTTCTTTTCACTGCTGCAGCTGCTTTATTTTTTTATTTGCATTGTATGCTTCAGTGGAGAGGCTTTTTTTTTTTTTTCCAAATCATGATTTTGATATGAGAATGCATCGTGCATGAATGATAAAATGGGAACTGTACAGAAGGCTGTTGACTCCATGCTAGTGTTGGGTTCTTCTTTGGGATATGTTTATCTACCATGTAACTGAACACTCAAAGGGCCAGTCTTTCCCAGTGCAGCTGATGCTGCCTTCCAAATGTGCGTGAGCACTTCAAACAGCACAAATAAACTCAGTATAGCTTCTGGAGCAGAAGTATTAAAACTCTGTGGTAGCAAAAAGCTATTGCAGAGAAACTCATTAAAGAAATATATCTTAATTGAATTTTTAAGTGATATTCCTGTGAATTTTTGGCTCTTCTTTTGGCAGTACCTGAAAATTCTTGGTTGATGAAAGAGTATGTCTTGGCAGCTAAACATCCCTTTTCCTCTGTGGTGGCATAGGAAGTATTTCAGCATGGTATTAGCCCAGCAGATAGACTTCTGTATATACAGGGACTTTGGCAATGTTCCATGTTATCAGAAAGTGTGACAATGGGCATTATGTAACAATTTATCTAAGTTTATAATGAGGAGACAGTTCTTTAGGTGGTTGTGTGCATAAGGATTTGTAGATTTGTTCTCTTTCAAACTTGATTTGAAATAACTGTATCTAAGGAATAAACAAAAACAAGTATATCTTTTAAGTTAGTGATTTAGTAATAGATGCATTGCCATTGCCTTTTTTTGTTATAACCAAGCCCAGAACAGCCAGGAAAGGAGATCTTTTGCATATTGGTTTACAGTTTGTTATCCGTTCTGCCTTGTTACTTAAGCAGAGAGTGAGCAGTAGAAATGAAGGGAAACACAAAATGGCATCTGAATAAGTACATTCCAAAGGAATGTAAATTCCTGTAAAATCGATGCCATTGTCATTGGAGTTGCTTTCAGGAATAGTGCTTTTTCTGAAGTGAACCTTAGAACAAAATATATTGACTCATTCTGATCTGTTTCAAAGTACATTTTTTGGTCTAAAAATCAAGTAGTATAACTCTACAATATTGTTTTTAATTGCTTTTTGGAGTAGATATCCACTGATATTTTAATAGTAAATTTTGGGAAAGTACCACATATGGAAATGAACTTATGTGTAATAGTCCTCCAGTACATATGCTCCCCTCCCCCCGCCCCGGCTGGTCTGGTTAACTCAGGAAGACATATGTTTGCATTATTTTGATTAACTCAGGGACCAACAGTGGCACAACCATTTGATTCATTCAGCTGATACATCCAGTTGATTTGCTCAACTGATATATCCATTTATCCAAAACAAAGGCCACCCTCTGGTCCCCTTTGTGTTGAGATAAGTTCAGCTTTCTTGGCAACAGCTGTGGTCAGTCACTCCTTACATTCTTCCCTGAGCTTCATGGGCACATCGCCCTTGCCTGTCTCCTCTGAGCCTTCTTCCATTGTAGGGGGTTCATTGATCTTTCACAGATGCTGAGGTGGCTGCTGCTAAACCAGTTTTGAAGAAATCAGGATAATGGTTTTAAAAATTTACAAGGATCAGACCTGAAAGGTAAGAATAGGTGATATGAAAAAGGATCATTCTACCAATCTGATCTGCAATCTTATGGAATGAATATCTGCTTCAAGACAATAGGTACAGACAAATTAAAGTAATTATCTCAGAAAGATGTCTATTCTTGATTTTGAACGATTGAGCGACATTGGAGAATTAAGCAATGTCCTTGGTAATTTGTTTCAAATGGTAAATTAAGTTTGCACCTTATTTCTAAGCCAGCTTCAATTTACATTTGTTGGCTTTTGTAATGCCATACCATCAAGGTCCTTTGATAAGCAGCTTGAGGTCACTCATTTCAAGTGGTAGGCAACTCAGCAGGACTTCTTGAATGAGTCATATCTTCCTTTTATAAGTCTGTAGATGAATTTAATGTACACTGGCATAGGAAAGCTGTTTGAACAGAGAATTACTTTGCTAAAGGTATCTGGATAAGCAGATTTACAATCTCTGTCCTGAGGACTAGAACTAGCTTGTTTACTACAGGCCTTAATCTGTCACTTCTGTCCACACCTCTCTCAGTGGGGTGAATTAAAAAATCTCAACATGCTTGTTTCCAGGATCCTAGCTTGGTAAACAAGCCTATTGCCAATGCTGGGGTTGACCTGTCCTTCACAGCTTTTATTCTGATAATGTGTTCAACTTTGCTTTCTAGCTTTAATATCCCCTCTTGATTTGATGTGTTCATAGTTCTTCATGCCTCTGCTCAGATTTTATTTTCACATGACAATTGCATTATGATCAAGTTACCTGCATAACCTTCACTTTGGATGAGCAAGACTTGTCAGCTATGAACAGAGGAGAGGCACTGGTGTCTGGTGGCACCCATCTTTAGAATTTTCTGCAATTTTCAATCTCACTTCTGGAAATGTAGATAACGTTACCACACATAAACCAGCACAAAACCAGAAGGTAAACACTGACTGTTTTATCCCTTTTCTGTGTTCAAGCACTGTGATTATGCTTACCACTCCCCACAAACAGCATTTATCTGGTTACCCACTAGACTCCTCCAAACGGCTTCAGCTATAGTATAGAAGAAACTATTCTGAGATAGTAAACATGGCCTACAGTCTTCATTTTCCTTGGGGGCTTCTCCTTACCTTTGGTTGTGCCCAGCTTACCAAGCATTACCTTTATTTTTCCTTTGTTATCCCATTTTATCTGTAGACAAGGATTTTTCAACTTAGCATGAGGAAAAGATCTAGCAAGGACAGAATCTGCATCAAATAGCCATTTCAGTATTTTGTTTACAGCTATACTGAGACCTAGTGCTGGATCTCAAGCTGTGAGATGCAACTCCTAACGAGGTTTAAAAAACCACAACCATTCTGAAAGTTGCTGTTTGGGACTTCTCTGCCTAAAGACTGAAAGATAATGATTTCATACTACACATTTTGATAAGAAACAACTAACCTTAGCTGATAAAGGTGATGGTGAAAATGTTCATCAAAAACTGTCTTGATACAATCCTTATTGCAAGTATACCTTGTGTGAAAGGGGTTTTTTTTAATGAACAGCAGGAACCCAAGCGGTGTTGCTGTTTGGTTTTAGAGATAGTTAACTGGGTACAAGACAGGAATCCAAGAAGGCAGTTCTGGTAACAAATTGGGATTAAGTGACAGTGGTCTTTACATACTATTAAATACCAAACTGTCTTAGTAGGCCTTACTAGGAATAACTAAGGCAGTCAATTTAACTTTAGTGGGGTAAGTGAATTGTGGAGATGAGCGAATGAGTTATGGGATTCCATAGACAATGTTAGCAATCAAGCTGTTTCTTTTACATGGCCACTGAACCTAGTTTTTGCCTTTAGATTGAGCCAAGAAGAGATCTTAACTATAGATACGTAAACCCCTTTTTGAAACATTTAATGGACTTGGTTATGTCAAAGAACCACTAATAGGGTGACTCTAGCTTTGAGAGAGAGCTCTTCATTCTGCAGTACACAATTATGACACAGCAAATTAAACAAGTGAAATATTCATCTGGTCCTGTGAAAGCTTAGTCTCTCTAAGACGGGACCCTGAACTCTTGTAACTTCCTATTAATGTCAGGAGGCCAGCAGTAGGTGTTCTCCATAGGAGTAACTTCAAGTACAATTGAACACTTTTTAAAAATTATGCATGTAACAGCACTGGAATTGAACCAGAAGTTTAGCACATGAGATTTGCTTTGAGTAGTAGATATCCCTATCCAAAGTCCTATGAATGACTTTTAAAATGCCATGATTAAATATTTAACAGTAAACAGTAGCTCTTCCAAACAACAGTAGCATTATAGTGACATATTAAATATGTAAATATGTTAACACAAGGTAACAGTTAAACAAATGCATGTGTTCACTTCTCATGGAGATCCAAAAACTGAACAGGAGAAAAAATGACGAACGGTGGCTTTTGCTTGTAGGTACCGAGCATTACCACAATCACAGGAAAATGTTAACTTGAAGAACAGCTTTTATTTGATTTAATATGGAAACTTATAAACAGTTTTTTCAGAAAAATAATTTTATAAGTGTCCCCTTAAGGTAGTAATGGATTTTAAAGTCAGCTCACACTAGGCTAGTAAGTTCTTATTTGGAAGGAACCATTTATTTTAGCAGTATGATAGACATTATCTGAAACCTGTATCTAAAACGCCAACTAAACAAAGTTGGGACTCAAATAGGATTTCTTTGCATCAGTTGCTGCAACTCTGATTTTTGGAGTTCCATTTGAGTTTCCAGTTGAGGAGTTGGAATGCGCTCATCTCCAGTCTTCTAGATAACTGAAATTATTGCACTTGCATTGGCTTTATTGGGCATAAAAAGCTATCATAAAGCAATAGTTTAATATTCATATACTTTAAAGCACTTAATGCTATCTGCAAATGAACTATACAAGTAAACAAAACAATTCATTTCAACTTAATAGTGAATGTTTTTAAGTTTCAGGGTTTAAATGCACTGGGAAACTGATAGACGCTGTAGCTATTATATGACAACACATTTAGTCCATGTCGGTAATCAGGTGATGTTATAAAAAATGAACTGTTTCATATAAAATAAACAATGCTGCATTTTTTGCTCTCAGATGGCACAGTACAAACAAGATGATACCTAAGTTATTACCATTACAAGCAGTTATTACATAGGGACAGCAGCTAGGAAAAGAAGTATCTTAAAAGCAATAGACATTCGGAGTCAGCTTTTCATAACATTGTATGAAAGTTACTCTTATTTAGTTACAAGCATGTCCATTATAACTGTTTAAGTATGAGCTGTTTAAGTAAAAATTAGAAGCAAGAGTACATAAGTGAATATTTACATTAAAAAAAATTCAGAAAAGAACTTACAAGTGAAATAACCTTCACCAATCACCCTAAACCAATTGTAGGAAGTGCATAGCTGATTTTAAAAAGTTAAACCACCTAGTGCCACTAATAAGTTAGTAACAATATGCCTCATCCAGAAGGATGTGCAATTCCACTTTAATTTCGCTAGTTATCTAGAAACATGCACAGTACATATCAGTATCTTCAAATATGGTACAACCATGAATATTTATAGAAGAGCATTCACAAAACCATACAGTATTTTACAGTTCTTTGATACAAAGCATCTTTTAGGCGATCAAGGAGCTGAATGCCTAGCTTCTATGTACTTTGTAATTCATAAGAAAAACAGGCAAGCTGGGAAAGATAACAATTTTCATCTCCTCTTTGTCTTTTATACTCAAACAGGCGATACTAAGAAAGAAGGTTTTCCAGAACACATTTAATGCAAAGAACTGACTAAATACTAGTTCTACCTGTCTACAGCTGCATTCATTGTCCCTCAACATTATAAAGTACCAAAGTGTAAAGCTGTTCAGCATAAAAAAAAAAACATTTTGCCTTCTTTTGCAACTGTATTAGATGAAGCAGTTTTAGTTGTACTATACTTCTCTATAGAATAAAGAATAAATTACATAAAAAGATTAAACCGCAAATGTGGAAGCATTTCTAAAAGCTGATTTACTTCCTTACACCCCTTATTCTTGAGAGAGTTGTCATCTTCCAATTAAGACACAGTGCAGTCATAACTGCCTTCTTGGAAAGAATCCTTTTCCTCTGTTGTAGACTTGTCTTCTTCATGTCTGATTACACTGCTATTAGCAGCGTCACTCTGAGGATTAGTGCAATGGCTAGACAAAGTCATGCTTTCCTCAACTCCGGGGCTTGCTTGTTCTGTAACATTAGGAGGGTTCACTGGCTGAAAAGCTTCAGGCTGCACTCGCTCTTCTGTTATCTCACTTAGTTTCTGGATCTGTGGTTTGATGATGTTTAGAAATGGCTTGTACCCAGGGCTAAGAAAATAAAGGGTATAGAACACTTTTAGAGAGTTAAAAATAGTACTTCTGTCACAACCATGAAGTAGACTATTGCTTGGGAAGTATCTACTATAAAGGAGTGTCTTCTACGACTATCATCCCTCCTGTATAAAAACAGGGTCAATATTTTAAATAAGGAAATTCTGCATAATTTAACTATATATATTTTTTTAAGTTAATACAGCCATACTCTAAATGATTGCCCTGACATTTTAGAATAAGTTAAAAAAATAGTTTTAATTATGGCTAAGGTAACTTCAGCTTGTGTTATTTATTAAGTAGAATGGAAAATGAACTATCCAAAATAACACTTACCAATCTGTGGAAGCCCATTTGTCAATAGCATGTAGGCCAGTCTTGATGTTCTGACAGATTTCTCCATCAATATCAGAAGATTGCATTATACTAAAAATCTGGTTAATTACTGAAGATTCTCTGAGAATAAAGCCTATGATAATACACCAATCTAGACATCCTGCTTCCATGAAGATATGTAGTAAATACCTGTATGAAAAAATCTACTTAGTTCATTTTTTCCACTCGAAGGACAAAATCCCAATGCTCAATTACCATAGACAGTGATTCCTTCCCCTAATGTTGCATCCTAAGAGCAGATATCAATCATTTTAAATCTTAAATGCAAAGATAATGTAACTTACTGTAGTTGGACCTGTGACTTGCGGGGCCCTTTACAAGCCAGTTCCAGAGAGAGATGTTCAAGCTCTGACTGAGTTAAACTAAGACTAGAGGAATTTTCATCCACCATGGTCCAATCACCATCCACCATAGAACTGGTTTCAGTCAGGTCTGTTGCTGAACCAATGCTACATTCATCATCTATCAAAAATATTCAGAAGTATAAGGAAAAAGGAAAAAACTTATTTTAATAAAACCCTATTTTTTGTGTTGATTCCTATATACACTGACACACTACTCAGTAATACCTTGCTGTATATCACAATTATCACTAAAAAGTTACTTTGGGCATATTGTCCATCCTAAGTCAGCATTCTGTCTCTTTTATGCAAGCAGTTACTGATATCATCACTTCCAGGACCATAACAGTTCTTGCATAAAATAAAAATAATTTTGCTGAATAAAGTGGGCAATGTTCATTTATCAACTGATATTTGTAGATGCTATTAAGAAATACTCTGGCTACAGTGAAGTGCTTTTGGACTCTTATCAGCTGTGACAGATGCCTCCTAAAGCTGTGTTGGTAAAAATAATTGTTGTAAAAGACCACAGTGAGCCTCCTATCTGCTATAATCCTACAATTAAGTCTGCAGAAAGAGCTGCAACCCTTTTAAAAGGTACTCTTCCTTAACATTAAATCACTTTGTTAAAAACTAGGGTAGAATAGCAAGCTTTTTTTCCTTCATAGAAAAACCCTAAAGACTCCTAATCTTCTATAGTGTAAAAATTTACCTGTGCTAATAAAGCAAAGGAGTAGGTAAGAGAAAAAATAAAAATATACAGAACAGATGTAGCTGGACAATTTTTGCAAAAACAGTAGCAGCCAAACTACAATCATTATGGTGATGAGTCATTAAAATCCTCCAGAAGTCTACTTATTAGCATAGATACATCTTCTCTGAAAAGGTTTAGGAAGACAGCAAGCTACTTCATAGTTTCTTGCTCAAATGTCACTAATAGATTTGTTGCTTATAGAATTATTATTAGAATTCAGCCAGCACTGTTTTAAAGACTATAATAAAACAATCTATTTACATTTTTAAAATAAATTAGTTCAGAATGTATATTAAAGTGTTAAAATAAATTAGTTCAGAATGTATATTAAAGTGTCATTAAACTCAAAGGCCTTAATTCTATTTAGAAAAATCATATATCCATCTGCAGAAACTTCAGTAACAGCAACTTGTAGTAGAGAAATGAAAAGATAAATATTCTTTTCAGATCCATAAACTGCTTTTTGAAGGACTGTATAACAAAAGTATTTAAACTCTCCTTGCATTCTTGCAGTCTCAATAGGTAATAAACAAAAGAAATAAATAGAAGTGAAAAATACAGGAAGGCAGTGCTTGAAGAGAAAGACAGAACCTGACTCTTCCTTCATTTTTTTTTCCAAAACTGTTAACCTAGTGAATAGTAGCCCCAAGTGCTGTGATACTCAGGAGCACACCATCTGGAGGAGAGTGTACTTTATGCAAAAGATACTTGAGTGTAAAGGAACGTGTAACATTTCAACGGGATCTCACATCAGGTATTTTCTGCTTTAGTAGGCAAAAGACTTGAGGACAGTAGTTAAAAAAAAAAAAAAGTAGGCAGACTAAAAAATTTGTCTACTCTGTATCCTGTCTCTGTCTGTGGCCAGAGAAGATGCACAGAGAATAAGATAAGATTTCTCTCTGTATCTTCTGTAAGCTGGTCATATATTAGTGTTTTTAAAAATGCAATTAGAAAAGGTCATGGAATAGGGAAGAAAAAGTTCCTTTGTAAAGGATTCAAAGAACAGAGTTTATGCATTAAAATACTGTTGAAGACAGATGATAACAGCTACAGTTTTTATCTGATCAGCTCTGTACTTAGTGCCTAATACTTCTGTTATAAACACTTACCAGTCAAATAAAAATTAACCTAAAAAATTGTTTCTTCACCTCTTATTGTACTATAGTAACTAGACAGTTTACCCCACAGATCAATTGCTAGAGACGGGAAAGTGTCCATGCAGCTTAGTGGAAGTACACACACAAGTAAAGGCTAAAGAGAATTCCTTTACACTGTTTGCAATGGTGAGTTATAGAACCTTGCAATACACAAAGATAAGCTTAAGAGTTCTATTTCCCAAGTTTAACTGAAAAAAATATTAAGTTTCAAGTTACCAACACCGATGAAGAATTTAAGAAAATATGAATTTCATCTTTTACCTTTAAAGTAATTATAGCTGTATGACAGGCATATATTTCTGTTTGTAAAAATTTCAGCATGCTTTTCATAGAGTCCTCATTTTTTCTGGCTTTTAGCATCAGCAGTTGAGAAACATAGCAATACAGCAGTGACATGCAAATATCAGAATATTAATGTTCACTTCAATCAAGAAAGAAAAGTGACCAACCTTTATTTAACAAAGGAGAAAGGACTGCATCTTGCATGGGGGGTCCATAGAATGAAATTGTGTCAATCTCTCTCTGAGAGGAGCTAATAGTGCCAAGCCAGCTATGACTCCGAGGTATGTTTGGAACCCCTGTGTCCATTTCCACATTTAGAAAGGTGCCTACAGAATGAGATTTTAGGAGATGCTTCCCCACACCTTTAAAATCCCCCCCAAAATAAAAGCACCCTGAGTTAACATTCAAATAATTTACTTGCTGACCAAAAGCACCACCAAAAGCAAGTATAGCCATTTCAAGAACTTTGATCAGCTAGCATAAAAGAAATATTCATCTAATAAGCTGCTAGCATCACCACACTCAAATGAAGGTACTACTACTACCATCAAAAAGGGGAGGGAAAAATCAGTAGCTAGTGTTAACTATGCTCTCTTCCATCCTCATTATCACATAGTTAGCAAGTTTTAAACATGAAAAACTCATTCATCTTTGAATATGAAAGAGTTGATCAAATCCATAGCTAAAAAACATATAATAATGTTGATTTTAGTCAGTTTCTGTAGCTGAATTTACATTGAAGAGCAATATCCACATTCAATTAGATGTCTGCATATGAGTGGTATCCAACTTAATACACCTGAGAAAGCAAAAAAATCTCAGAGACAACAGCATAACAGGACTAAAGGAAGAAATTAGGTCTATGCCAAACAGTCCCTTCAGAAAACACATCCAACATAAGAAGGCTATGAAGGTGATAAGCCTCAGCCTGTTCTTTGCTTGGCTGAACAGAGGAAGGAGAGATTCAAACTGATAGGTGCAGGCTTGCAGAAAAGAAACCTAATCCAAATCAACTCAGATATTACAGCACCTGTCCTGTACATTCCAGTCTTGAAGGGTGAATTAATAGAGGAAGCTGGTATGACTGGAAATGGCCAGAGGAAATCCTCATGTAATTTTTTCAAAGCAATCACAAAATCCTCCACACAGGCAGCTCTGGTTCGCTCCTTACGCAACCAGCCAATCAGCTCAAAGCTTAACTGTGCAGCAAAGCAGCCAAGGTCTTTGAGTTTGATTTCTTCTAGCAGATGCCGAGCATGTCGCCAAAGCATCATATCAATGTACATGTTCTCAGCACAGTCACAGTCTGTAATCCACCTATGAACAAACCAGAAAAAAGGAATATTAAGATTTATAAGATTGAGTAGTAAGGACTGTTGGCCACAAACATGGCATGCAAATCTGCCAGAGTAACAGTGAAAGCCACATCTATACCAACAGAATCCAGCTTCAGTGTTATTTGGTACTTACTTTCTCTAAAAGTCTCCAGTGCCACAATGGGCAAGTGAAACAAAGGAAAAAAGCTATGCGGGCAACACTATCTGTAGAGCATCAGCAATAAGGGCAGAGGAAAGAAAAAAAAGAAAAAAATGGGGGGGAAAAAAAGTGCCCACTGCAAAGATCTCCAAGAAATTGGAAAAGTTTAGAGAATAAGACAAGCATTAGTCTGAGACTTTCTTTTAAAGTTGCTAAAATATATTTTTAATGGGAAATCACTGAAGAAAAGCATTTAATTTGTGCTAAGATTATTTTGAAAATAATATATGGGACAAAAGCAAACCAAGACACTATTAAATTCCTTCCTCATTGATCAATATTAATGCTCAAATGTAGACAATGTGAATTTAGTATCCAGCAGGTGGAGATGGGTCTACCCAAAGACATAAATGGCCATATTTATAGTGGCTTGATATATCAATATGTGCACAGCATCATAGTGCAATATATGTTATGATGCTGCAATATCATGAGTCTGTCAGGACAACCAGCCATTCAGCAAGCCAGAATCTTCAGATATGAGGCACATTGTGGTCTGACTAGCTATTTAAGTTACTACACATGTATTCAGTGGACTCAGAATAGAGGCTTTTGGTCAACAGTACCCATTAGGGTAATGTATGTACCATCAATAGCCACATGCCTACTGTCAAGAACATAAAAAAAGATATACATGGACATTACAAGATTCTGTAACAAATGCAACAGGGACAGGATGGGGGGAGGAAGGGGAACGTGCATGTCCAAGGACAATTACCTTCTGAACACCAGAAAATTCTATTGTGGCTTGAACTTAAGCTATTCTTCATTTCAGGAGAAGAAGAGGCTCTACTTACAAGCAAATAGTGACTGTGACATATATTATATAATATTTTTCTATAATTGGGAGAGCCAATACAGTAACTAACAGTGGAGGGAAGGAGAGGACATTACTATCAATTATTACCTTTTCCCAGATGGGCCAGAGATCATACTCAGTGTTTTCTGTAGGTTGAATTTGCTATGGAGATTCTCTGCTGATTGGGATAAACTAATGCTGCGATGTCTGAAGAATTCAAAGCCACCACTTAAACTGGGTTCCTAAAACCAAAAACCCCCAAGCATATGATCAACTGAAGTAAATATGCTACATAGTGGTTATAGGCAAGATAAATTGCACAAGGGCTGATGCACAGTATTTACTACTTTCTTCGCAAACCTGAAGTGTTGGTGTAGCTGGAGGTGTCTCCAATTCTCTAGAGCCAATGGCTTTAAGAAATCTGATCAAATGACGACAAAGGTCCCACTTTTCCCGCTCTAAGGCAGTGTTAAATAGGAGAGTAGCATGCTGTCTACTAACTGTTGGAGCTTCCATATTCTGCAAGTAACAAAGCATAAATCTGAAATCATTTGCTTTCTGCATCCAGCAACAAAAATATTTTTATAAAATTAAGCCTCTTCATGGTAGACTCAACAATACGAGATATCTGTAAAGTCAGATTTCATGCTGTAATTTTCCATTTTATTATAGGAAACGATCCATACTGTTCTATACCTCCCCTTCCACAGCTGGGCATAATTTCAACAAAAACTGAAACATAAGTTTAGTATGACAATCATTTTTAAACAATACAACATTGTTAACTGGTAAACATTACCACTGTTAATGGTAAATATCACCTCCCTTTTGCAAGATTCAGGATACCATTACCTGTAGGATAATAAGATAAGAGGCAGCTGTGTCTAAATCCTGGGCCATTAAGCACTCCTCAAATAAGTCCTTTGGGTTTCCAACAGCAGCAAAAAGGTAATTCCACAGGGCATATTCTGTCTTCCTAGCACAATGAACAACTGTCTGCAGGAAAAGGGGGAATTCTGTAATGAACTTCGCCACAGTGGGAAGCAGAGGGTCAGGAATGGGTTCCCGTGAGGTAGCTTCTTCTTCCAGCACTTCATGAAGCATCAGTTCTAGTACATGAGGAAAGTATGGTAACGTGGCACAGGAGTGGGCCAAAAGTAAGGCTTGTTCACCGAGGTTCCTAACCAAAAGCTGGCGTAAAATGTGATGGAGGTAGATCTGAGAGGTTCTCTCAACAATGCAGAAAGGAAAGAGGACCTCTAAGTGTTCTCTAGTGCTGGTTTGAGTGTATAAACAGTCATAGAGCACAGTGTCATTAACAGCACCAAGAAACAAGGCATCTTCAAACAAGACAGCCAATGGGTATATGTTGATGTGGAAAGGCAGCATGATCCGCCTTGACAGAAAGGAATGTGGTTTTCGATGGTCTCTAGGAAATAGAGGAAGCCAGACTTTCATACCTGCCCCACCACAGCTGAGCCAGAGAGCCTCCAGTAAGTGGTGTTTCTGTTTCTCAAGCCTGCAAGTAGTCCAGACATTTTCAACAGACTGGGCTAGTACAACTGGAGCACAAAAAGGCAGCTATGGAAGAAAAAGAAAAAAAATTTTTTTTTAAAGTTTTCCCTCACAAGAACACTTCCATCAGCTGAGCTAAGAATATCCTTTCTCTGCAAAGCATACTTTATGCTTTTAACAAAGAAGAAAAACTTCAGAGATTAACAGATTTGTAACTGCTCCCTAGCACCAGGAAAAGCACCAATAATTACCAATATTAACTGAAAAGATATTTCTTTCATTTTTCACTTGATACTAGTCAGAAAGCCAGAGGGGTTGAGGATAATATAGAAGAAAATAAAAAAAGCACACCTCTGCTTTTCCATTTTGCACAAGAATTCAACCTAGAGCTGATGAAAGTACTATAACCTCCCCATATTTGATAATATTTGCTTGAATCCCAAATAACTGTTCTTCAGTCTAATCTTGCTCAATTTCATTCTCTCAAACATGTGGTATTGCTTGTTTTCATATAGCAGGAGTTATGTTTCTCATCAGCATAGAAAAAGTTATACGTTATTAATTTTGATTGTTATTTTTTGGAACTCTGCAAGTATATTGCGTGAAGATGATAATGTAAGGGTATGTGGCATATGAGAGCATCTGGTTCATTGAAGTTATCAGGTTAAGAACCTTTTAAATAACAAGTAACAAGGAAAGTGATAAATTAAACACACAGATGCACAAACCTGAGGAGCAGGCCATAATGGAGACAATAACAAAGACCAGAACTCTTCAGCCACTGATTGATGGGCCATTAAGAAACTACTCAGGCATAGCTGTGAAGAGGGCCAACCTGAACTTTGTAAGTGATAAGAAGAGGGAAAACAAGACTAAAATGAGTATTATGGGATATTTGAGGGGGGCCTGTGGGATTGTGCAAAACTTATTATGGGATACCAGAAGGGGCTTGTGGGACTGTGCAAAATGTATTATGGGATGCTTAGGGTAAGGGCTAAAGGCAAGGGAAAAGGAGGGAGGGAAATCAGGGTGCATTGGAGAGGAACAAGCGTGGGAAAAGGAAGGGGGATAAAGGGGCCAGTCACTTGTAAGCGGGGGCTGGTCAGTAAGCTTGTCTGACTGAGCCCTGCACCTGATCACTGCAGTCTATCCTATCTTCTTCTTAAATCCTTTCTTAACTATCTTTCTGTGTAATTTCACTGTCCCACCTGTGGGTGCTGCAAGGTCCATGTGCCAGGAACTGGAGAGACCAGAGTGAGTAAATCAAGTGCCAGCCACTGGAGTCAGACCACAGGTCATAGGGTCCATGTGTCTGGGGTGCCAGCAACTGGAGGGACTGAGGTGCAAGAGAGGTCTGGGTGCCAGCAGCAACTGGAGGGACCTCAGTGTGCTTCCCCTAATGAATTTAACTCGATGTGCGGGGGTATGTGTGTGTAATTCAGTAGCAAATTTCAAGCTGGACTAGCCAGAGAGTAGTAGGAAAACTTGTATCTGGAAAGACTCAAAGTCTGAGCCAGAGATGGGTAAGAAAGCCCAGGGTCCGAGCATGGATATTAGGCAGACTGAGAGCCTGTGCTGATATTCGAGGGATCTGCAAGTGTGGGGGTGCTTGTGAGATGAGTGTGCGAGTGCATGCATCTGTTTGCTAGTGAGCATCAAGCTGGACTAGCCAGTGAATAGGAGGAGACCTGCCTACTGTGTAAGAGGGCCCAAGGTCTGGGCATGGATATTAGATGGGCTGAGGGTCTGTGATAATATTCAAGGGATCCATGAATGCAAGTATGCTTGTGAATCTGGAGAGTGAGGGCACGTGTGTTTTCACTAGTGAACTTCAATCCCAATCAGCCAGAGAGGAGGAACATAACTTGGCTATTTGTACTTATGTTTTATGTCAGTTCTGATAGTGTTATATGTGAGCGCTGCTAAAGGCAGTGCTCTGTCTATGTGGTTGGCTGTGTTAGTGTCTTCTGTGCATGCGTGCACCTCTCTAGGATACATGCTCAGCCTTGCTACTGGCTGAAGCTGCAAACAGGAAAGGAGCAGCTGCATCCATCGGCCTAGGATGGAGAGACATCTGGGTCTCAGGGTGCCGTGGACTGGGCTCCAGTGGCTGGTAAGAAGGAATCCCCGGGTCTCGGAGGCAGCAGCTTTCCAACATCCCTTAACAGATAATATTCCATAAACATATAAAACAGTTTAAGCCATCAGCTGAAGATTTTTCTACCTAAACTGTGCATAAGTTTTGTGCAGCAGGACCTTGATATTTAAAATCCTAGCTTTCACTGCAATACAAGTGCTAAATAATTCTTGTTAGACATTTGCACAATTAAGGAGCAACTTCAGAGATTCTTAGAAGAATCATAGAAGGGATAACTTACTTCCAACTAACAATTCAGCCTATTAGTGCAAACATTGCAGAAAGACATAGGCCTCCCTTATGTTTGGACCACTCCTTTTCACAACTTGCCTAGTCCTCTGACATCTTTGAAGCCTTATACAATATCCCAGATATATTTACTCACAAACTTCCTTTGGTTAGGGTTATTATCCTTCTCTCGTATTTGGAGGCCAGATCGATCCCTTTGCAACATGATGAGTTGTCCTGCTAAGTTTAACATAATACTTTCAGCCTCACAGGCCTAAGGATAAAACAAACAAAACAAAAGAGTGTTATTTAAGCTTTTTGAATGCATCATTATACCCTTAAGTACAATACAAACCCAGAGTAAATTCACTGCACTGCCTCTGCACAGAGGGTTCATAATTGGTATCGAAAATTTAGAAGCTACTGTCTATTTACTTATCTTCCAAGACAGATTCTGTTTACAGGGGAGACCAATACAGAGGACTCCACTTCTGCTTCTCAGACAAGAAACTACCCAATGGGTTCCCTAACAAACAGCTTTATTTGGCAAAAGTAGTATGCATAAACAGGGCACATCTATGATAACTCCAGGCCTTGTTTTCCTTCACTGTTTTACTGGAAGAGCTGACAAAATTACAGCATGATAAGCTGCACTGTGACCTTGCAACACATTAGCTACTCAACAGTAACTACATTAAAAGCCAACATCCACCTCCTTGTAAGTGCACTGTAGCTTCAAGCTTTGTTCATATATGTAGACATTTAATTGTAACAGATATTTCATTAAGTAGATATATGCTTTCCCAAACAGTCCTAAACCTAAATTGGATAATGCCATGGTTTTAAAAGTGATTTATATAAACTTGAAACAGCTGATTATATACATACAAAAAAGATTCCTACTGGCCTCTACACAATCATCAATTGAGAGACTGGATTTACAATGGTTGCTGCATCATCTGTAGCTGCTGAATATGCTCCAAAAAGCTTAAGTGTCTTTAAGTTTGAGTATGGTTAAGTGTCTTTAAGTTTGAGTATGGAATAAGAGCAGAGAAGTTACCACAAGCTTTAATCAAGTGTTTTTAATTCTTAAAATATTTTCATTCCTTTATTTTATTCCTGCATCTTAAAGCATATCTGTATATACACATCCTTTCAAAGTATTATTCTTTTATTCAAATAGTCTTTCTGCCAATGTGAATTCATTACCTTTCCAATCCATATAGAGAAGCCTCTTAGAAAACAATTTAGTGCAGGACTCAAAAGAAACAGTAGAACTGAATATCTATAGATGGCTACAATTGTGTAGTTCTTGCACAAAGCAATTATAAGAATAGTACTTCTTCATTTGCTAGACTCATATCACATGTTTACCTGATTTTTTTTTTAATAATTGAAAAAAGTTTTTCCCCTCACTTCTGTTAGCATTAGCAAAGCCACCAATATTTTCAGAAGTTAAAGCTCTGCATTGGCACAGATATCATCATTATAGACATGCTAATAGCTGGTTGCAGAGACTAGCACTGATACAAGAGCCAAAAAGAGCTTAGCTACACTTTCACACAGTATTTTGAGCTTTTAGAAGCTGCAGTTAGATAAAAATCCTTTTACTTGGGAATATCAAGCAAGCACATATAGCTTAAACCAAAAAAACCCTCTATTTTAGAACTGTTTACTGTTAAATTTAAACCAAGTTACCCGAGTTAATATTATAAAGTGCATGAAGTTCAATTTTAATAGGTAAGGCTAGAGGGCCTGTACAGTAAATTCTCAGCATCAGGGACTGAAAACAGCTTATTGGCCCTTTTCCTTATTATTATTATTCCTTTACTATTAAGAACAGCAAGCATCTCCTGCAACATCAGCATGTATACAATGATACAATGCAAGAGGCATTTAAGAACAATCTAGCAAGTGTACCAGTAAGACAAAGTATCTACTGCATCAGTTATACCTGTTATTTTCTCAGGCAAATGACAACTTTTTGGAGAAAAAAAAATAGTATGTCAAACAACTCAGAGAAAAGATTGTTTAGATAGATCAAGAAATCTCAGTTCCCCATCTGTAAAATGATAATAGAGGAAGTTTGCTAATGGGTTACAGCATTGAACAATTAAGATGATGTGTCCAACTTAAAGCAGAATGTCTCAACATTTTCAAAGTCTTAATGCATCCAGTGCTTTCAGTGGTTCCTGTGCAGTGTCAGAATCAGTGCTGACATCAGTGCTCCTGTTTTATTTAGTACCAACTTCTTAGCACATACTTAAGCAAGTAATGCCCAAGACTTGTGCTATAAATGCTGGCTTGACCAACATTGCTATTTGGGAGCCTGGATCTTCTAAGTCTGATAACACTTGACCATTCTATGAGATAAAGCTTTGGTCTTACCAGGACTTATCAGGCAACAGGTAAAAGATAAATCAAGCACTAATTTAGCATGTGGATCCACCCAGACTGAACAAGCACCTGCTACATCTATCTAACAGGGAAGCAGTAAGTTGCAAGACTTGCAATGTTTGAAGACTATGGGCTTTAAGCAGCTATTCAAATGGCTAAACTTACAGAAATAAGTTGCCTCCCCCCCTTAGCTCATATATAAAATGTCTCCTTAATAATTACTAGAGAAAACATCTTCTGCATGCTACCACATAGAAGAACCACTACTTTATAGCATCAGTCACGCAGCCTTTGAGAACTAGAGTTGCCAAATCCAGGACTAATATTTTGAACATTTTAGAGCTTGTACCTGCTGAGGCATTTTTAAGCTGATGCTAGTCTCTGTCCTCACTGATGTCAAAGTAACGGACACTACAAGAAAAGGATGAGGAATGTATCGAGACATAGATACTTCTTGAAGAACTTGGACACTGGCAGTAGGGTTAAGACTGCAAGGGAAAATATAATTATGTTTAGCAATTGTTTAATTGTGTTTCACAGAAAATTAGTTTCTGAAAGTGAATGTAATGACAATAACCAGCTTAATTTTAGTAAACAACTCACACCAAACATCAAAATGACTTCCCTTTAACCAGAAATCATGCAGGCCCACATATCTATGCTACATACAGTTATTGAATAAACTTATTACTCTGAGTTACTGTACCTTAATAATTTAAGAGGATAGTTATGAGTGGATAGAAGAGAACACAAGATACTCAAGAACATCTCTAGAGACACAAACTAAAACTGTCCTTATTGAAGGGTATTTTTAAAAGATGTTGAAAATATTTTCTTCCCAAGTTAATCAACAGGTTTTATTCTGCTAAAGAAGGTTCCTTCTTGTTGAAGTCAAGCTACAATACTGAGGAAAACTTTATCTGCTTAAGAATCTCAAAAACTATACAGGAATCTTTATCTCTTTCTTAACATCACTAGTTTTAAGTCTGTAACTAGCTGTTTTTTGTGACGGTATTTCTTTTGTCTCAAGACAGTGTGCCCCCCCTTTATTTTTAATCACTTCATCTTCCCTCCCCCCAACATTTCCTACTTTTAATCTTGGCAACACTTCTTTTCTAAACAATATCCAAATATACAGGTATCTTTCAATGCCTTTTTCTTCAGTCTATATTCAGTATGATGCAAGTCTTCAAGTTCCTATCAGCTAGAACAAGCCAAGTTTTCCAAAGCACCTCAATTCTGACTCAACTTACACAAATACAGTTTGGAATGTGAATTTCTCAGTCATTATCTCTATACTTGCATACATGCATGTATGCACATATGTAGGTGGCAACACTCAAGAAATGTCACTAGTACATACAGGTGACATTTGCTACTCACTGATATGATATTTTAAAAATTGGACTCAAGAGATTATCAAAGAATCTGATGTTATCAAAATAATTTATTCAGATTGAAGAGAGATTTCAAAATACATTACTGCAAAAGCATTAAAAATAACTGTATAAACCTGTTTCACTGGTACTCACCCATCAGGCCTTCTCTCAATACTGTAAAGGCAAATAGAACAATCTGCTCTGAACAATATTACGATGTCCCGGAAGACACTGAGAAGTAACGTAGCTGCTTGTACTTTAGTGATGTATGCAAATGTATTATCAAGATTAGATGTTTGCAGGTACGTTCTCAGCTGCAAGGAAAATTAATAGTTTTAATATAGGTTTCTTTTGACTGATTCTTGATTCCATATTTGTGAAATGACTGTCAAGGATTTCTAGCAAGATACATCAGTAAGTGCTTGATTAACAAATGCTACTTGCAACCAAAGTGGTTAAAGTGTAGTACAGCCTATACACACACACACACACACATATATATATATATTTTAAGTTCTTATGCCCACCTTATTTTAAAAACTTATAAAATTCTCCCAAAATACTCTAACTGGAAACCTCAAAGTAACCTGTGTGCTAGCACTCAAAAAATATCACAATTTTAGGAACAATGAGGAGATTCATGGTAAACAGCATAAAATAGCTTTTAGTATCAATAATGACCTTTTCTTCAAAGGACTAGTTACATAGCAAACAAACACCCCACCACCACCAAACCAATCCCCCCCCCAAAAAAAAATCACGCACACTTTTTTGCAGGTGACCAAGAATCATCTATGCATTGAGTTTTTCACATCATTTAGTAAGTAATTACCAACAGTCAGACATGAGCTATATAAGATTTCATGTACATAGATTAGGCTGTTTTGCCACTTAATATTCAGTTGTTATTACTTAAAAATGACAGAGTGCTGCAGAATAGTAGATGAAGAAGACAAAACAAAACACCCACCATAGCTCTATAGTTCAGAGGAACCTCAACAGGCTGGAGAAATGGGCAAACAGGAACCTGCAGTTCAAAGGGAAAAGGCAAGTCCTGCCCCTGGGGAGAAATAATCCCATGCACCAGTATAGGCTGGGGGCTGACCAGCTGGAAAGCAGCTTTGCAGAGAAGGACCTGGGAGTCCTGGCGAACAAGAAGTTGGACATGGGCCAGCATCATACCCTCATGGCAAAGAAGGCCAACAGGGCCACGAAGATGATTAAGGGACTGGAGCATCTTTCATAGGAGGAGAGGCTGCGAGAGCTAGGACTGTTTAGCCTGGAGAAGAGAAGGCTCAGGGGGGATCTTATCAATGTATACAAATATCTGATGGGGAGGAGTAAAGAAGACAGGGCCAGACTCTTTTCAGTGGTGCCCAGTGACAGGACAAGAGGCAATGGGCACAAATTGAAATACAAGAAGTTCCATTCAAACATAAGAAAAAGCTTTTTTACTGTGAGGGTGGTTGAGCATTGGAACAGGTTGCCCAAAGAGGTTGCACAGTCTCTATCCTTGGAGATATTTGAAACTCAACTGGACAGTGTCCTGGGCAGCCTGCTCTAGCTGACCTGCTTTGAGCAAGGGGGTTGGAGTAGATGATCTCCAGACGTCCCTTCCAACCTCAGCAATTCCATGATTCTGTTCATCAATCTACTGGCATCACTGACCTAATCTGCCTCTATTTTTTTCTGCTACTGTCCAGAATTTGCAAGCTTGGGTGTCCAAAGCCAAATTGTATATGTAGTTTCTTAAATAAGACATAAGGGAGTAGGAGTCTGACCATAGGTACTCAGATTTGGAAACTGTTAATAATCAGGTAGAATTATTGAGCCAAAGACAGAAGATATTTTTCAAGTGTTTTATGAAAAGACATTGAAAATCCAGCATCCATAATCCCCTAGTCTGTCTTCAAGCAGTTTATTTGAAAAAGATACTTTTTGCTTTTTTCTGAAATCACATGTTCCAACAAATATAATCTCCCCAGTATACCTGGACAATGTTTCCAAACAGCTTCCACTTTTCTGTGAGTAAAGAATAATGCGCAAAGCCAAACTTGCCAACCACAGCTACATTCTGCCCCAGCTTGTCAATGGCTGAAAACTGAAGGAAGAGAAAGGGGGGGAGGGAAAGA